AAAGCATTCATGTGAAAAATATTTTAGTTTGTTGTTTTTTTCTTGGTTGGTTTTGTTTACAAGGAGGACTTCTTAAAGTAACCAAAATTCCACAAACACCTCCCCAAGCTCCACACACAGAAATTCTTCTTCCCCAAAAATATTAGAAGCGTGAAAAATAAACAGGAGATCTGCATTAATCTTTCAGAATTTATCCCTTTAGAACAGAAATGGAAAGAAATCAAACAGTTTTGAGGGAAGTACTGCAGCATTAACATGATCCTGTATTTGCCAGGAAGGTTGAAAAGGTAAAAAACCCTAACCAGAATTTTCATAGCACTGACAGAATAACTACATTTACATACCGAAGAAAAGAGATAAGAAGTAAAAAACTTGTATAAGGCCAAAAATAAACCACTGTGGTGCACAGGTACATAGGCAGATTTCAAACACTTTCTACCCATGCTGCTCTAATGATGAAAAAACCTATTTTCTTTCCTTATTCAATGAATGACTTATTAAGATTTTTCCACCCACCACTCCTCAAAAAAACAAACAAAAGGCAAACAAAACAAATTCCCAACAAATCAAGGTTTCATTTCTCCACTTAGAGCTGCTAAAATCACCATTTAACTCTGAAATTTAACAAAACCCCTTTTTTCAAGCAAAAACACTTCCCAAGATTCACCCTGACCTGACTGTACTTCAGGGCAAACAACCGAGCTTTTGAAACACAAAGTGAAAATTATGAACACCCAGGAGGATAATACTGAGGACTGAGCTCATCACACACAAACAAAGGACTGTAAAAAAGACTGATCATGTCTGGATCTGCAGCACCATTTGTGCACTGCTCCAGGGGAACACTGCTAGCTGAGTTCAGTTATCTTCAGATGAACCATATATTATGATGTGGCAAAGTCAATTCTATTACATCTTGGAGTTCTATCACTTAACAACAAACAAACCAAGAAAAACCAACACTGACTGAACCAAGTAAAGGAAAGATGGGACATCAGTGACAACTTGTATGTTCACTTCAGCATGAAGAACCCACAGAAATCCAAGTAACTAAGTAAACACCAAAGCCACTATAACTGTCTTATCTTCGTCAAATGACAATTTAGTATTTGGAGTACAGAAAATTAAATTACCCACTTTGCATTAAAATATTAAAATGTAATACTTTGACAACTTAAAGAGAAAAAAGCCAAATCTACAAAGAACATTACTAAATAAATTCTGCAATTACCTGTATAGTATCACTGAAAGATACAGTGCAAGGATGACACAGGAATGATTCTCAGATCTGTCTTTAAAATAATGTCAAAAAGCCCACTATACCTTAAAGAGCCAGAACCACCTGGCAAGGGGGAAAAAAAACCCACCAAAAAATACCAAACCCCTCCCCAAAATCAACAGAAAACCAAACCCAAGCAAACAAACAAAATGAAACAAAAAAAAACCAATTAAAAAAAAACAAATCCAAGCAAACAATAAACCTGGACACTTAAGACAGGTCTAACTGTGCTTAACACTTTAGCTTCTATTAAATTGTTGTGTTTTTTTTAAATCACCCAAAACATGTAGGCACTGCAGATGATTTAAGCAATATTTCAGGTGATTATACCTGGACAGTTTTGCCAGCTGACAAGACTTCCTCAGCATTTTGGATTTCTGCAGGTTTTAGTTTTTTGTTTGTTTAAATTATGTCTTAAATAACACTTCAGACAGTGGTTACATAACTGTGGATGTCAGTTTTACTTTTTCTCAGGGCTACTATGCTGCATAATTACCACATCTCTACACTGCACAGGGTTTCTTTCCATATCAGAGTAATGTTTTTGCTTCTATAGTTATGAAGGTATTTTTTCCTTTCCCCAGAAAGGCCACAAAATTGTGCTAGGGATTGTGGAGAGAGGATGGAAAACCAAGGTCCAAAAGGAATAGGAATGGCAAGAGGAATCCTCTATCAACTCCATGCATTGTCATTCTTTTTGTGCCAGTTCCAGCCTCAAAAAGCAAGCAGCAAAAGAAGCAAAACAAAGTAAAAAGCTCTGTTTGAAGAAAAACAAAAACCTAGGAAAAAAAAAAAGGTCAAGTGATGTGATAACTCAATTTTAGAATTTTTTTCCTGGTGACATTCAAAACATTTGGGTGCTAGCAAATCTTTGTGCAATACTGTACCTTACCTTTAAATATGATCCATAGTATTTTGTTACATACGGACTATCACACTGACTTAAAACAGTTATCTCCTGCTGTATATCTTCTATTTCATCTTCTGCTTCCTCAAGGTCTATGATTTTTATAGCAACCACTTGCTGTGTCCGATTATCAATTCCTTTAAAGACTTCCCCAAAGGAGCCTTTTCCTATGCGTTCCAGTTTTGTGAAGAGCTCTTCTGGGTCTGCTCTGTGGTTCTAGAGAAAAAGAAGAAAAGATTCACAAGTTACTTCATTGACTTCCAAGGTATTAGCCCTCATTACTTCCCAAGAAGCACATAATCCAGATTTATCATTACTAGAAGGCTCACATCAGATAAATTTACTTCCTGCACACTCACCTCTAATTCAGCTATTAGTTACAGAACATACATTGTGCAGTTATGTCCAAGTGAAATGAGCCTTGCCAGGGAGGGAGTTGGGTACAAACCTCATGTCACTTCCCCAACACAACGCTTTAAAACAGAAGAATAACAGAGCTGTTCTTAATATTAATCCTATCTGTGCAGTAACTTAGAAGACTGAGGAATGCAACTACTGGCACAAGCCTAACATCATCACCCAGGCTGAAAAGGCTGGGCTTTCTACCTGGGCAACAGCCTTGGGCAGACAAAGCATCCTGTAATGGAGTGCTGTGTGAGGACTGCACTGCCCTGCATCCACCGGCAGATTCTGAGCGATGAGACCAGGAATCTTCAGGGCAGTGGAAAGTGCTGCCAGAAAGCAGAGCAGCAGAGACTGGGAGATGTTGGAAGGAGGACTAAGAAGGCTAGAGCAGAGCACTGAAACCTGGGCTTTACAAAGAGCAGAGGACTGCTGAGGACACCTGGCTTGAAGTCTCTATGGATTCAGTACTCTCAGCAGACTTATTGTTATACAAGGATTATAAATTTCTCATCCCCATTCAAGTAGTCACAAAGAAAGTAAAAAGGAAGCAAATCCCCATTTTTCCCTGCAAGACAAAGCATGCTACATGGCTGCTTAAAGAACCTGAAGTGTCCAGAAACAAAAGCAGTGACTTCTGAAGGATGTGGATGACTTGCTCCACAGTTTAATAACACAAACCTTTAGACCACGGTGAGAAAGCCTGCAGAAAGGTGTTTTCAGAAGGAAAGACAAATGTATTAACAGAACAGCCCAAACTATGCAGAATAACAGAATTAAGTAAATTTTTTATGTCAGAACTGGGAAACTCACTGCACAAACTAATCTTTAATCAAAACACACCAGCCCAAAAAAAGCCCTCTGATTCAACAGCAACACCTGAAAAGGGGAAAAAGATGATTTGCTTTAGATCTTTCCTGCACTCCAGAACTCAGAACCAACAAAAGTAGTGATAGTTTTGGCAAAAGCAGACATTCAACCCAAGACATGGATTACCCTACAGAAGAAAACATATGTACACCAGTGTTCCTGCAAATCTTGACTGGGAAAAAAAATACATTATTACTTTAACGTAGTCCATTTTGGATTATCTCATTTCCTTTCTGGGATCTTATTGTCACTTCTCCCCTTCTACCAGAACCTGAATTTATTCCACAATACAGTGAGATGAATCAGGAAACAGATTTAGCTAAGAGCTAACCATATGATTTGTCAGGTTTATTTTCAGCAGAATCAGTTCACTGCTCATCTATACCAAGCTGTCATTTGTGCTACCACAAAAGGAGGGAACATGAAGTAGTACGGCAGCTTCATGCTCCTCTGTGGAGCTAGATTTTAAAAATTTTAATTTTGCAAATATACAAGACACACTGGTGCTCCTGAGCAGCACATTAAAGAATGAGGAATTTCCCCTTTGTCTACAATGAGCTCCTTGCAACTCTACTCCTTTAAAAACAAAACAAAACCAAGCAAACAAACAAAAGCCCCACAAAACACACCACCTGCAGAGACATAATTAAGCAGAACATTTTGTATTTTCTTCTGTGGATAGATCCAGTGGAAGACTTAAAAGACCAACAAATACATAATCAAGCAAATGGAAAAAGACAGGATGAGAACTATTTTGATCTGAAATCTGAGAAAACTAATACTATTATGATGGGAAAGAAAAAGACTGTAGTTCTCAGGTACTCATAAAGCTTTTAGTCAGACAAAAAACTGCCAGTAAATCTTTAAACTGCCCAAAGACAGTCATATCAACACCATGCATCAGTGGTGATATGCATCAGCTCCTGCCACCTTTTAATCTTTAAGACTAAAACATTTAAAAAATATTAATAATTTGAAACAAATATTTAAAACCTATTTTCAGATGTGTTTCAAAAAAACACTGTAGGGACACATGTGGCAAAAGCAGCAGCAGCTGCCACCCAGCTTTCCCTGCTGCTAGAAAAGCCATTTAGCTGGCAACCTCATGTGTTCCTGAACTACAACATCAGTTGCCATAAGGATTAATGCATAGTTCTCAGTTCACAATAAACAGAGACACACACATCCTGCAAAAAACAAGTTAAGAGACAGGACTGGCAAAACTTTCCATTCACTCTAATTAAAACACTCATCTTCAAGAAAAGCCGCTTCATTTTAAGACATGCTTGAGCCTGGGATTCCAGGAATTATTCATGCTAACCAACAGCTATTGTTGATTTGAGATGAAACCTTCAACACTTCCAGACAGATAAAAGAAAAGCAATTTAATGACAGATATAGTCAGCTAATCCAACCCTTCACAAATGTTTGATGAACTCAACTTGGATTTTGCCTCAGGAGAAACCTTAAGCAGAAAATTCCTCTGGGCTCCTCAGTGGAAATGCACACTCAATCCTGTAAATCCACTTAACGGCCATCAACTCAAAAGCCAGGCCTCCAAACTCTCTCCCTGAAGCTACTGCAGGTGAATCAGAGCTTTAAAGGCTATTTTAATGTCCAACAACTCCTAACAGCATTATGTGGGAGTGCTGGAGTAAGGGGAGAGATTAGGCACAGCTGGACTTCCAGACAACACAGAACTCCATGTACCTCCCTGGGAAGGAGAGGTGGAACAGAGGGGCACCACAGGACAGCAAACTGTGTGTGACTACTAGAGGAAAAAGTCACATCTTCCTATTCTGAGAAAATCCTCTCACAGCCAAGTCAGCTTTCCAGCTCCTGTTATTCACTCAGGCTGACAAGGAACTGCAGGACACTCCAGGACGAGGGCAAATATTTCTGACCAACTAAGGCTAATGCTGAGATAACCTCCTTTGGAAAGGCTTCAAACTTAGAACACTACATAACTTAAAACATGCCCTTAGAACAAAGACTGCATTTTGAAACAGATTTGCTTTTACCTTCCCTAATTTCCTTATCTTTCAGACTATTGTTGAACAGGAATGTTTTTCTGTAACTAAAAAAAACCAAACAACCAAACAAAAAAACCCCAAACTTGAAAAGACTATTTTTTAAACAAAAGTTCATTTATATAATGCAATAATGCCTCTCCTCCTTCTCCCAGCATAGGAAAAAAAGGAAATATACTTTATACAAATAAAAGTGTGTATGTGAGCACACAGTCCTGCAATACATACTAATAAATTTTTGCAGCACAGCTGCCAGCTAAGATTTGAATATGGTAGATTTCTAACACCATTAATGCTCTTAAACAAAACAGCCAAATGTTTTCTCCCTGCTCTTTCACAGATCTTTCATTGAATGAGAAAAAGGTTTAGAAGTTTTGGAAGCAGACTGCATGAATACTTGTTGGGTTTGTTGTTTTTTTTAAAAAAACACAATACTGGTTTCTATGGGGAGTCATGTCTGTTGGGCAGCAGATGGTAAAAACACAATAGACACTTTTTTCCCTCCATCATCACCTCTCTGAAGATAACACCTGTAAATGGACAAATCAGGAAGAAAATCTATTGCTCTTCCCCTCCCTAAGCCCATTTCCACAGACAAAAGCAGCAACAAGTATGACAAGCACAGGCACATTCACATGCCAACTTCCATCTCTCCAGCATGAGTAACAGCACCAGCAGGAGCGTGACAACACAAGCCCTCTGCATAGCTCAGAAGTCCAGCCATTTCACCAGGCCAGCACAACTACGCAGCTTGCTCTCGTGTTCAGTACAATCCCTTCTCCCTCACATGTGCCATTGCTGCATGTGTTCATACACGTGTATACAGACAGAGATTCACAGGATAATTCACCTTGGAAGGGACCTCAGGAGGTCATCTAGTCCAGCTGCATGCTTAGAAGCCCCAGACAAAAACCACCACAGCATAACTTCTGCCAACATGCCTGCAGTAGTTGCATCAAGTATTCTGCCAATATGGCTTATATAAGCATTTCGTTTTCATTCTAATGAACACAGCAGTGTCCTGGCTGCATTCTGGTACAAGGCTGACTCAACTTCCCACCTCTGACCCCTTCAGGTACTTGTTACTCCACATTCTGTGTTCTTCCTCGAAAGCAAAGTTAAAGCACACTGCATAGCTAACTTCCAAGATGATTCTGGTATCTAACAACATATACCAAATCAGAAGACAGTATTTGTGTTAGATTGGTTCAGGGTCTGTAAGCACACCTCAGCTCTTTTATTGAAACAGGTCTTCTAAGCAGGTCAATTAACGAATTCCATTAAAGGGCACTGAGTACAACTGGATGAAAAAACAAAGCTTTAAGGAATCTTGGACAGAGACTGAGCTAACGCCTTATATTGAACAAAATCAAAACCAGGACCTTCTACATCTTCCAAAGCAAATAATTTAACATAGTCTTGCGAGATTTCTGCCTGTAAGAACATACACCCTGTTGTCTTAATCCTTCTAAGACCTAACCTAGAAATACTGTTACACTAGCTGGACTTCCAAACATCCTTCAGGCTTTATTTGGAACAGAAGTTCCCTTAAAATTGTAGCACCACTACAGAACCTATCACCTACACTGGGAGACATTACTCAAATACGCATTAGAAGAAGATGCAATAATTAGTTAAAAATATTTTTATGAAAGGTAGGCAGGAGAAGACGAGTGCCTACTCATGCTCTTCAAATATCCATTACTATAGCACCCTACCACGTTCTGGTAAGTTCGGAAGCCATCAGAATTACCTGTGTGTAAGAGTAGACCATTATTTCAAGCAATTGCTCACAACTGTTTACTTACAGACACTTAGTTCAGATAATAAAGTATCTCTATGTTTTCCTTCTGTTCAGCCCCAAAAATATTGAAATAAAGAAGGATAAACCTGCTGGACTACGGGACTTCTTAAGAGTCTTGTCTTAACAGATCCATTCTTCTTAGTTGAATTTCCTTCTATATACTCTGCATGTAGTTTCAGGTATTATATATATACACACACATTAATTATACACATTACTTATACACATTAATTATACACTAGGCATATTTTATTATATAACAATGTATATTCACACACAGTGTATATATTTCCATATTTTACCTGGACAAGGAACGTTTTACTTCTTTACAATAAAGCCACCACATGTAGTGATACACTTTATTTCTTGAGCTCCTTCCCACCTGCGCCTTCCAGTTTTATTTTAAAATCCTACTAGAATTAAAGTTATTAACACAAACAGTGCCATAGGAATTTGTGTGTGTATATATACCTAAAAATTTAAATAGTTTGAAATTAATGAAGGCACAGGTGCAGAGCCATAATCACTTATGAGAAAAAATGAACCTGCAGACACTCAGAACAAAGGTGAAACCTGCAGACACCTTTTTTCTCCACCTCATACTCCAC